ACCTGTTGCACACTGACCGGGTACAGGAAATGCACGGGCAGGGACGCTGGATCCTGGTCTGTCTCCAGCTGTCAGGAAATACGTGATTATGACAGTTCCAGGAAAGCTATGGGCACACCGGAGGATCATGTCCCCACATTCGCCTTCACTCTTCCTCACCTGTGTGTTTAAATATATATATTTACCTTCGATAATGTCTATGATAACCTGGTCGAAGGGAAGGGGAATTATCAGGCTATTGCGATTATTTAGCACTGGGAAGGGATCAGGGTACGGATTTGGGGTGGGACGTGGAGAAGGAATGGTGCCCAACCACTTGGATGGTCAGGTCAGGGGATTTACAATGAACGCCTGTCCTCCTGCATGAAGGAACACTCAACCACAGAAGATCGTCGCTACATGCCGTCCAGTACATAAGGGTCTTTTACGAGAGTAAAATGTTGTCAGCTTCCATATATACTTTATACCCATACAGTCAATTGATTGATTGGTGAAGATTAAGCCACCCAAGAGGTGGCACGGGCATGAATAGCCCGTAAAACCTTACATGCTTGTTGTTGTTTTAGATTCAGCTACTGGGAACAAAAAGTTCCAAGTAGCACGGGCTATGGTGAGCCAGTAGTGAACTTACCTGGCACAGGAGCGGGCTATAACCTTAACTTCAATGTAACAGTCAATGTCTCAGCTTAACCATATAGAACCTGGGAAATACTTTATTTATTTATTAATTTATTTATGCATATACAAGAAGGTCCATTAGGATTGTGAGGATACATAATATGGTAATTACAATCTTGTAAAGCCACTAGTACGCGCAGCGTTTCGGGCAGGAAACTAAGCTTCGCAAGCTGAAATGTGAATGGAAGTAATAATGTTCAAGACATATCTTGGGAGTTCATCCTAGCACTATGACGTGTAGCCTCATGTTCACACGTACACTTTAAGGAATAACTAATAAAGGAACGATATCCTTTTGTTTGAAGAGAATCTTCCATCCAGCAAACGCCATGAGCTCGTTTCCCCCTCAGGCATTCACTTGTCAACAACAATTCAAAATATGAACTTGATTGTTAGAAAATGTACCTAAAGAATGAGTGATAAAAATACTGGTGTAGCAGATGGATGAAAAAATTAAACTATTGTTTGAAATTATTAAGTAGCCGCTGTTGCAAAGACGGTTTGTTGACAAGCATAGATGGTTTGTTGACAAGTATAGATGGTTTGTTGACAAGTATAGATGGTTTGTTGACAAGCATAGCTGGTTTGTTGACAAGCATAGCTGGTTTGTTGACAAGCATAGCTGGTTTGTTGACAAGTATAGATGGTTTGTTGACAAGTATAGATGGTTTGTTGACAAGCATAGCTGGTTTGTTGACAAGCATAGCTGGTTTGTTGACAAGCATAGATGTTTTGTTGACAAGCATAGCTGGTTTGTTGACAAGCATAGCTGGTTTGTTGACAAACATAGATGGTTTGTTGACAAGCATAGCTGGTTTGTTGACAAGTATAGATGTTTTGTTGACAAGCATAGCTGGTTTGTTGACAAACATAGCTGGTTTGTTGACAAACATAGATGGTTTGTTGACAAGCATAGATGGTTTGTTGACAAGTATAGATGTTTTGTTGACAAACATAGATGGTTGGTTGACAAGTATAGATGGTTTGTTGACAAGTATAGATGTTTTGTTGACAAACATAGATGGTTTGTTGACAAGTATAGATGGTTTGTTGACAAGCATAGATGATTTGTTGACAAGCATAGATGGTTTGTTGACAAGTATAGATGGTTTGTCGACAAGCATAGATGATTTGTTGACAAGCATAGATGGTTTGTTGACAAACATAGATGGTTTGTTGACAAGTATAGATGGTTTGTTGACAAGCATAGCTGGTTTGTTGACAAGCATAGCTGGTTTGTTGACAAGCATAGATGGTTTGTTGACAAGTATAGATGGTTTGTTGACAAGCATAGATGGCTTGTTGACAAGCATAGCTGGTTTGTTGACAAGCATAGATGGTTTGTTGACAAGTATAGATGGTTTGTTGACAAGCATAGATGTTTTGTTGACAAGCATAGATGGTTTGTTGACAAGTATAGATGGTTTGTTGACAAGTATAGATGTTTTGTTGACAAGCATAGATGGTTTGTTGACATAGATGGTTTGTTGACAAGCATAGATGGTTTGTTGACAAACATAGATGGTTTGTTGACAAGCATAGATGGTTATATGGGTGAAGGAATACTCTTTATGGAGCCTCGATATATGCCTAACATATATCATATAACATATAACATCTATAAGTGCTTAGTTCTTGTGAAAATTGTGAAGTTGTTTAGTCAGAGTTGATTTTTTTTTTGGGGCAGATATTTTGAGGCAGGTATTTTCTCCCCTGATTCCATGTATGACTAACCATCCTGTGAAATGGGAATATTAGATGAACTTATACTGTAGCAATTTTTTTTTTGTATTTATACTGTGTAATCTTTCAAATGAAATAGGGTAACAGCACATTGCTGTGTATACCTAAGCTTGTTAATAATAATAAAATAACATGAATATATATATATTATATATATTTATTATATATTTATATACTGTATATAATGTGGATGCCTGTCCTGACACAATGAATTATTAATTATTAACTGTGGGTTATCAGGCTGGCAGTATTAGTATTAGTTGATTTGTTAAGTAGTTGACTAAATATCAATATGGCTAAATTCAGTTACATCTGTATTAGTCTCTAGTTCTTCTCCTGTCTTAGTCTTCAGTTACATCTGTATTAGTCTCTAGTTCTTCTCCTGTCTTAGTCTTCAGTTACATCTGTATTAGTCTCTAGTTCTTCTCCTGTCTTAGTCTTCAGATTCAGATTCAGATGTTTATTCAGGTAAGGTATATACATACAAGTGATGTTACATTAATGGATTGATATATAGATAGAGCTAGTACATACAATGCCTAAAGCCACTATTAGTCTTCAGTTACATCTGTATTAGTCTCTAGTTCTTCTCCTGTCTTAGTCTTCAGTTACATCTGTATTAGTCTCTAGTTCTTCTCCTGTCTTAGTCTTCAGTTACATCAATTATTTATCTCCTTGATATAATTTACTCAGCCCTTGACAAAAATGAGTTTCCGATTGGACTCTTCATTGACTTGAGAAAGGCCTTTGATACTGTTAATCACAATTACCTCTTACGTGAACTCCATCATTATGGAATCCGAGGCCATGCACTGGACTATATCCAATCCTATCTTAGTGCTAGACACCGATGTGTAGCCATCAATAATATAACCTCTCCCACTCTACCAATAACCGTTGGAGTGCCACAGGGCAGCATCTTGGGACCTCTCTTATTTCTTATATACATCAATGATCTGCCTAATGTCTCTAACATTCTGAAACCTATTTTGTTTGCTGATGATACTACCCTCATCTACTCTAACCCCAACCCACATACACTAAATAATGTTGTTAATAATGAACTAAAAAAAGTCCACTTATGGATGTCAACCAACAAACTAACACTCCTCAACATAGCAAAGACCTACTACATCTTATTTGGAAGCAAATCTACAAATGCAATTCAGCTTCAGATAGATAATGTAAACATTAGCAATAAAAATGATGGAAAGTTTCTTGGCCTATTCCTAGACAAGAGACTCAACTTCAGCACCCACATAGAACACATAACTAAGAATCTAAAACAGTTGGGATACTCTCCAAAATCAGATATTATGTACCTAACTCTGCTCTCATCTCTCTATATTATGCACTAATCTATCCCTATCTTAATTATGGTATCTGTGCATTGGATTCAACCACTGCAAACCACCTCAAGTCCATCATCACCCAGCACAAATCTGCTATCAGAATAATAACAAATTCTGCTTTCAGACAACACTCAGCCCCCTTGTTTAACTCCCTAAACATGCTAAACATAATCTCACTCCACAAATTCTCTTGTGTCAATTACATTTACAAAACCCTGTTCTTAAATGCAAATCCTGCTCTGAAACTCTCCCTGGACAGATGCAAAAGGACCCATTATCACCACACCAGAAATAAATATCTCTTTGATATCCCCAGAGTCAAACTTAATCTGTGTAAACACTCTGCAAATAAAGGGACCCAGTCTATGGAACTCACTCCCTAATGAATTGAAAAGCTGTCCAACTTTTGCGTCATTCAAAAACAAAACTAAAAAGTATCTAATTTCATCTTCATAGTTTTTACCTTGTTGCTTTAAAATTGCACTGTATCTATTGCTACCAAATCTCCCAATCTTTATGTACCCAATCCGAACATCTTTACCATTGTGATCATTGCTGTCTTCTTATATGTGCTGTCAATCTGCTGTATGTTGTCTATTAAATTTGTTCAAATTACCAATCAAGCTGTCAATGTAATCAATCAGAGCTTTAATATACTTACTAATCTCTCTCATCTCATTTTTTTCTTGCAATGTATCTGTTATCATTTTATTAATTCTGCTAGAATTTACCTACTTAAAATTATCTGTTAGATTAAGGACCTGCCCGAAACGCTGCGCGTACTAGTGACTTTACAAGATTGTAAATACTATGCTATGTATTCTCACAAGCCCAATGTACCTTCTTGTATATAAATAAATAAATTTAAATAAACATCTATATTAGGAATTCTGTACTCTGCTTCCACTGGTGCATATAAAAATTTCTGTTTTTATTACATATTTCAACGTTTCAGCCGGATTAAAGTGGTTTTACGTGTACATCTTCTTTCAATCATATAAACATTAAATGACTAAAATCAAAATAGAAAACTTCCGCTCTTGATTTTGAAATGGGCTGATGTAATAGTCCACTCTTAACAAATGTCTAACTTCGTCTATTACAAGTCCTTCAAGGGGTTTACACATAATTTTATGTTATAAATATATATAAAGGATGTGATAGGTATATTATAGAGGAGTAGAGTGAGAGTTGTATAGAGGTGTAAATAAGAACCATGAGAGAGGCGAGGTGGTGCGGGCCAGAGGTTACATCAGCCTCACACGTGGGTCGTCCTCGCCGCCACCTTCTCTCCTCTCCTCTTCCCTCGCCATGATCTCCAAAGCCAGGCTCATGGCCACCAACCTGGCCGCCCTCGGCGCCAGGAAGACTGCCGGCCAACTGGTGCAGCAGGTGAGTGCTCCAGGGGGCGGGTTTGAGGGTCAAATGGCGTGGTAACACAGGGAGGTGCAGCAGACGATGTGATGGCGCCGGCAGCAGACGATGATGCTCCTCACGGGCCAAGGTTGAGCCTTGATGACTAATGAGCTTGTGTATGGGGGAGACGCGTGCTACCTCCTAGCTCAGGTTTATTAGATTCGTGAGGTTAAGATATGAAGGACGAGTTGTGTATCGTCTTGGGGTCGTGGAGGAGATTGGTAAAATTTCCTCCCCGAGGCGTGACTGGATGAACGGAATTTGCGTAGTATTGGTGATGGTTGGCCTCGGGGGCGGCGCCCCTACACTCGTCTGTTCCATGTTATAGATTCAGCTACTCGGAACAAGTTCCAAGTAGCACGGGCTAAGGTGAGCCCGTAGTGGACTTACCTGGCACAGAAATTCATGCCCGAAACGCTTTGCGTAATAGTGGCTTTAGGCATTGTATGTACTAGTTCTATCTATAAATCGATCAATCCTTGTAAAATCTCTTGTATGTATGTACCTTACCTAAATAAACATTTATTTATTATTTATAGAAGCACGGGCTATGGCGAGCCCGGCCGTCTGCTCCACGCTGGCCAGAGGCCTGTAACGAGGCGCTGTTATCAAAGCTCTTTAAGTGTAGTTGGTGGTGGTAGCTAGGGTGGTTAAAGGGAGCGTGGGTGGCCTTGGTCTAGCCTTGTCTCTCTCTGCTCCATGACCCACACTGATGCTTGGGGGGGCATTGTCAGTCACCTGATGCCTCTGTTCACCTGGCAGTAAACTAGGTGGGGATTTGGTCAAATTATATATGAGACTATTCGACGTGAGCATGTTTTAAAGATGTCGAAGCAATATGTATTGATGTCAAGTTGGTTTTGCCAAGGTTAGGTTGGGTAAGGTTAAGTAGGATCTAAAGTACAATATTAAGAAAGTCATTCTATTATGACGTAACTTGTCCAAAGTAGAGAGTATCGTCATATCATATCTCATGGCCATTATCAGGATGGCGTATCCTCAATTATACCCATGTTGTACTCTGCCACTTTGACTGGATGGTAGAGCAACGGTCTCGTTTTGAGACGTTCAATCCCCGACTGTCCAAGTGGTTGGGCACCATGCCTTCCTCCCGTCCCATCCCAAATCCATATCCCAACCCCTTCCCAGTGCTATGTAGTCATAACGGCTTTACACTTTCTCATGATAACTTAAAAAAAAAAAAAAAAAAAAAAAAAAAAACTGCTCGTTGTGCCTAATATTTGTAGGCCGGGCTCTGGGAGTAGAACTCGTGAAACCCTCCACAGGTATGCTCCAGGTTTACGTCCAGCTATTGGCCACGTTATTGTGGGATAGTTGAGGGCTTCAAATTTGTACATTATTTTCATGGAAAGTAACATTAATCTAGATTTTTTTTTTTTAACTTTAGGATAGGCTATTGTGGTTTATTGAAATAGTTGTGTAATCAACCTGCATGCAGTGTATTAAATCCTTTGGTATTGCTTGTACGGTTGACATGTATAGCCGCTATTCATATAATTTTGAGTATTGGAACTAAAGATAAAGATGGGACTAAGGTTTCACTATACGGTATGTTCAAAAGAGCAAGCTAGTGGGTATCAAAGGTAGCAGGTAACTACACAAATCTGATACAAAAAAAAACCATTGAGTGGTCATTTTCCTAAATATTTTCTCCCATTGTAATAGCATATAAATATATATACCATAGTTAGATTGTTAGCTTGGGTTTGGTTAGGTAAGGTTAGTTACATTTTAATCTGTTGGCAAACTGTCTTGGCCTGAACTTGGGGAAATAAATGGCACTGCGAGTCGGATAAATTATGAGCCAAATAGATACAAAAGACTTGGGACTGGCAGTGATCAGGAACTAGGCAGTAACTTAACAATGCACATAGCAAGGCAAATACAGTAGAATTATTGGATTTTTACATTTTGGCTTCTTGAGCTTGAAGCTGTTGAGTTACAATGGAATTATTAAAGGGTTTGGATTATCATAAAATGAAAGTCTTTACAGCCAGTTTGAATACATGACTTGAGATTCATTTGTTCTTTCTATATATTACTATGAAGAATCATAGAACCTTGATCACCATATCACACCTTGAATTTTGATCTTCCAGTGTAACAAATGCTTCTACAGAATCCTGGGTAATTATCATACTGCTCTAGTATCACTAACATTCTTCTCCCAACAGGCCTAGCCAATTAAACTTATATCTTACTAGTGACCATGTCTTTTGAGCATCAAACAAACGGCATCAGCCAGGAAAGTAATAGGGTGGTTTATAAAGGAGAACCTTCAAATCCAGAGATTCCCCCATGATGCTCTTGCAAAGCAAATTATTTTTGCTTTCCAGTCTTGAATACTGCTTAGTGCTCTTAACCCCCCCCCCCCCCCCACCCTCCTTCCTTCAAAGATTTCTGAAGCAGAAGAAAGAGAGAATGTGTGGCATGCATTAACACGGTAGAACACCTAAATTTTTTATCACACCATTGAAAGGCAAAAAGGTGTTTTGTGTGATATACATGAAGGATACTGGAAGGCCAGGTTCCAAATGTGCACAACAAAATATCAACCAACAGGAGTTAAAGGTATAGTTGAACATGAAGAATGGACCTAGTGAAGAGCAGGATTGCCATAGGCTCAGAGAACACTCAAGAACATCAAAAGTCCACAGCTATTAAATACTCTCCCAGCTCAAGAAATATGTCTGGATCAAAAGCTGATGTTAAAGAATGAATTGGACACGTTTTTATAGGCAGTTCCTGGCCAGCAGTGTTGTGGTATGTGCCTACTGCAGCCTAAGTCTAGTCTAGCAACATCCTTTAAGGAAAGGTTGAAATTTTATGAGGGTAAAACTATTTGAAGGCATGTCACTAACAATTATAATACGGTACTGGTAATTTGAGTGTCGTATAATTCAGTTGAAGTTCATCTAGTTAATTGTGACCCCCATACAGTACAGCATACCTGTATAATATTTTTAATTTTATTTCTTCTGGTATATTAGATACTTTGTTAATTGTTTTTTTTTTTTATTTTTTCAGGCTTCAGTTCAGGGTGTCATTGCCCAGAGGGATGTCTTGAGCATGCAGACTAGATATAAGTAAGTTATAATTTTGTATATATGTGCATGTTGGTTTCGTATCAAATATTGTATTTTATCAAAGAACACTGGGAAACTGCAGATCTCGTGACCATGTGAGGCAACTCTTGTTTACACTAAACTTGCACGTCACAGCTCATCAGTCCCAAGTTTAACACTTTCGCGCTGCGTGGATGTGCGGCGCAAACTTAAAGGTCACGCCCCTGGCGTGCGGGCGAGTGAGCAACGCTGCCGAAATGTGTACTCATTTCAGTTTTCTCTCCTTAATTCTCGTGCTACGTCACTGGTTTTGGTATCATTGTGTTCGCAATTAAATTCCCTACAGATGTGTATGAATATAATGTACAAAAGTTTGGAGTGCTTCCCCACAGAAAAGCCTAAAGTTACCTGTGAACGAGCACCAATTTGTACACTGCAACCTAATGTGTATACTCATTCAGTTTGATAACATCAATTTTCGTGTAACGTCTTTTATTTTGGTATCAAATTGTTTGCAATAAAAAGGCACGTATTTTAAAACTAGTCCCATAATAATAAAGCAATAACTGGAATTTTAACAAATATTTTAATTCTGGAAGCTCGTCACAAAATTATATATATCTTTCCAGTGTTCTGACATAAATTTTTGTTACATCTTTCATTTTGGTATCAAATTGTTCGCGACGTAAAAGTGCGCATTTTAAAACTAGTCCCAACATAATAGCACAATAAATAGAATTTTAACAAATATTTTAAAATTTTGACCAAAAACCTATTTATAATCATACAAGTGTTCGGACATCAAGTTTCATGTTACATCGTTCATTTTGGTATCAAATTGTGCACATTGTAAAGACGCTTATTTTGATACTATCCCTAGGTTGATTGGATAAAAAATGAATTTTATACAAATATTTTTGTAGTGGATGCAAGTTCGGTCCAAAGTTAGGACTCTGGAGAAAAATAATGGAAGAGAGTTCAGTCCAAAGTTGCCGATAGTGTTAAGTTCCCTGCAGGTGTATATGCATATAATGTCCAAAAGCCCGGCGTGACTCCCCACAGCAAAGCCTAAAGTTAACCGTGAAAGAGCACCAATTTACACACTGCAGCCTAATGTGTGTACTCGTTCAGTTTGATAATGTCAATTTTCGTGTTACATCTTTCATTTTAGTATCAAATTGTTCGCAATATAAAGGCGAGCATTTTAAAACTATTCCCATAATAATAGAACAATAACTGGAATTTTAACAAATATTTTAATTTTGGGCGCTCGTCACATTTATCTTTCCCGTGTTCCGATATTAATTTTCGTGTTGCATCTTTTATTGTGGTATCAAATTGTGCGCGCACTAAAGGCGCAAATTTTGAAAATATCCCGAAGTCGATTGGATAATAAATGAATTTTATACAAATATTTTTTTATCGGGACGCCAGCACAGTCCGATGCTCGGACTCTTATTTTATTTTCTATGTGAAAACCCTACTTTCAAACCAGTATTAAGTGCTTTCCTGACCAAGTTTAATTTGTGTCCATTGTTCAGTGTTTTATTTTTCCTAATGCATTTTAACATTAATATCCCAATTGTTATACTTTCACATACTGTGTTTCTTTTTCAATCCTGGTACCTCTCGATTCTTTTCCATTCAAGAAAATCCTATGAAGCTTTCTTGATCGTTTCCGAAAGGTGATTTCTATTTCCTGGGATTAACCGCATTCTGCGGCACAGTGGCCGAAACTGAACTGCATTAATCTAAATGAGACTTGACAAAAGCAAGATTTTTTCACCAAATTTTATATGTGCAGTATTCACTTAAACTTCAAAAGTACATTGAAGCATATAAATTCATTTTTAAATAGGCTTGATATTTCAAGGGCAATTGCCACTTCCCTACTATTGTATCTATCTACAAAAATCTTGAACTTGATTGGAGCTATGTTAAGAGTTGTCATCGTAACAAAGTATTCTCACATTCTATGACCCTGGAAGTTCCCTGGAAAATTTAAATTTTATCCTCATAAGATGAAGCCAGTAATTGGAAGGGAGAACTGTGATCAGGGATCTTTTTATAGTTGCAGGCCCAAGACCAGGATTCATCAAGCAGTTATGAAGTACACATTAACCTGTACATCTTTTTCTCAATCATTTGGTGGTTTTGTGTACATACAGGAAATGGTTTGAGCTCCGAAACACTAGGAGGCTGTTCATAACAATAATATTTGATTGGGGAAGTTTTGGTGCTGGTAAACTGTTTACATTTATTAAACAGCTGCCAAAGATTAAGATAAGATGTTAAAGGTATGCAAGTAGTTGCATAACTCATTGATAAATCCAGGTCCTAATTATACAGAAAGCCTTTAAGCACATGACACGTTCTCTTGATTACTGAGGACGTGAGATTATGCCCTTAGATAAGACTGTTCAGATGCTTGGATAGGCCAAAGATATGAAAAATCCCATTTTCTTTGGGAGCATGATCATAATTAATAACTTGTTAGTGTAAACCTACATACTAATTTATTGTATAAATAGTAATTATAAGTAGTTTATAAGATTAGAATACAGTACAGTTCTACAATTTAAACAATTCCTGTGTAATATACAGAGTAAATTGTTAGTCTTACATGCTGTGCTGTATACCTCCCTGACAAATCTGTTTAATGGCTATTGATGCACTGGTGAATCAGTTGATCATAAATTAAACATTACTAGAGCAATATTTTACCCACTAGGTAAGAGTGCTCTTGAATGCATGCACATACCATGGAAAAAATCTGCTTCTGTGCATAACTAAATGTGCTTGGATAATTGCATCTTTATCAAGTTTTCTGTGCTCGTGATGACTCGATGACTTAAAAAAAAAATATAAAACACTCGACCTGTGGGATATAAAGATTGTCACCACCTATTTGCAAATAATAGATTTTCCTTAGGTTTTCATGTATGAACATGAAAACATAAGGAGAGGGGGGAACAATGTCTAGTTTTGTGCGCAATAGAAGGAAGCTGGGTGTTGGAGAAAGGAGATTGAGGCTATATGTGAGTGCCGATACTTCGTATGTTCAACTTTGATGGGTGTCATGTTTTGTTGCTTTACTTACTATTTTAGTGTAGTGTCGTGTTAAAACTAATAGTAGTAGGCATCCATTCATCAGTCTCGGGAGACTATGGAGTTGCGCTCTGGTTGTCGGTCTGGAGTGGCCTCACCAGGGCGCAAAGCCAGGGTAGGTTGATTCGGGGGAGAAGCTGTTACCCAGGCAGCAGGTCCCCCTCTCCACGGCGCTGAAAGTCTCCAATGGAAAGGCATAAGCCAATACGATAAATGAGCGAGTGTACTGTGCATCTACAATGTAATGTGTATACTTGGATGTAAACCAGTTTCCGGCATAGCTCATAGGAAGTGTCTGGCAACCCACGGTTGTGGCATGTCTGTCTGGGAATTCCTTCCTGAATTTAAACATTGTCAGTAACCCTAAATTGCATCTGATAATATTATCAGATGTGACTATTGATAGGTCCAATGGGACTTTCACAAGGGGCGTCAAGATGATTTTTCGGGGAAGCCCGTTTAAATGGATGCTTATTGTGGAATACTGTGATGTGATACTGGTACTGCGGCTATACCGGGTAAATGGAATAAGACACACTTCGCATTAAAAAAACAGCATTGGCCTTTGCAAATGAAAAATTTAAAATTTAATCTCAAAATTATCAAATAACACATGCAAAATACACACAACCCCTGAATTTGACAAACATGGCTCGCTTACAATAGCAATAACAACAACAAATACTGTGTATGTACAAAATTACGTTAACACAAAAATAAGTGACACTGAAGTATTTGCATGTTATTGCAACCTGTACACGAAGTGGATGGAGGCAAGCATCGTGTTGATTCCCTGAGCACCTGATAGAAACTGACGAATTGATCGAGGTCATGGGTATTTATACCCCTGATGGTGACTACGCCAGACCTGTCTCCTGCAGCACATATCAAGCGGATAACATAGCGGCATATGCCAGGCTGGCCAACATATACGAACGGCATTCAGAAACTTGTGTAAAGAATCATTCAGAACTTTGTATACCACATATGTCAGGCCAATCCTGGAGTATGCAGCTCCAGCATGGAGTCCATATATAGTCAAGGATAAGACTAAACTGGAAAAGGTTCAAAGGTTTGCCACCAGACTAGTACCCGAGCTGAGAGGTATGAGCTACGAGGAGAGACTACGGGAATTAAACCTCACTTCGCTGGAAGACAGAAGAGTTAGGGGGGACATGATCACCACCTTCAAGATTCTGAAGGGGATTGATAGGGTAGATAAAGACAGTCTATTTAACACAAGGGGAACACGCACAAGGGGACACAGGTGGAAACTGAGAGTGCCCAAATGAGCCACATAGATATTAGAAAGAACTTTTTTAGTGTCAGAGTGGTTGACAAATGGAATGCATTAGGGGGTGATGCACATCCTTCGTCACTGAGGCTTAGAACTTTGAACTAACCACATTGTTTTTGTTTTTGTTTTAAGAAGAAAATTATCTAATTACCAGTGATGCCATTAAAAATAATTTAATTTGAAAGAAATAGTCAAAGTAATTATATATCAGGCCAGTTATTGAATACTATTACAGGCTATACTTAACACTTTCGCCACGCGGTGGCGCACGAGCGTGTCACTAAGTTTTGTTCGGGTTCCGCAAGGGTGACACTGGCGGGCGTCACGAGAATAAATATTTGTATAAATTCCAATTTTGATCCGATCTACTTGGGGATAGTTTAGAAATGTTCGCCATGAAATTTAAGTTTTCTCTAATAGCCGAAGAGCTTATTTGGGAAAACGGCATGGCAGTGAATCATCGTGGTAAAACAATTGTATTAGTGACACGACGAGTATGATCGACGTAGTTTTTATATTTGTTGCCGGTCGAACGCATCCTTATGTGACGTTTTATACTTATGTTCTTCTAGAACATTCTATTGTGAACACATTGGTACAAAAATGAAATACGTACATCGAAAAATAATGTCAGGACAGGGAATTGAATATACACATTTCACTGCAGGTTTCGCCAATATGCCGCGGGTAACACTTCGGCCACTTCCCACACTCTTGTGGGTGGATTGCGACACCGATTCTATATTTATATGCACATGTCCGTGTAGAGAATTTTATTGCGATTTCAGTGATACCAAAATTAACCCTGTAGGACAAGTGTGGAGTTGACAACCCTGAAGATAGTAGAAACATTTCGTTGCTGTCTGGCGCTCACGGCTAGTGATCGACGTAGTTTTTTATTTGGTGCTGATCTAACTTATGTTTTGGTGACATTTTATACTTATGTTCTTCTAGAACATTCTATTGGAGCACATCGGTACAAAAATGAAATACGTACATACAAAAGAAAATTAACGTCAGGGCAGTCACAAGAGTATACACTTTTAAATGTTGCCGCTCGATCGCTGAAACGCTCATTTCAGTTGGGGAAAGTTTTTTTTTTTCATACACCGTTTTGCGAAAGTGTTAATTATATAAATGGTTTCTGGAAAAAAGGGCATGTTGAATTTATTAACCCTACTAACAAGGGTGCATTTGTTTTATACAGTATACATCTCCCTAGTTGTGGCAAATTGGTTTGTACTGTATATTTTTTGTTATAAATTAGGGAGCAAATTAGTTATGATACATTAAATTCCAATTTCACTTGAATATTTCAGGTCAGATGGAGTAAAAGGGGCTGTAATTGGAATAGACTTGGGTACAACAAACTCCTGCGTAGCTGTAATGGAGGGCAAAGCGGCTAAAGTAATCACAAACGCAGAAGGTGACCGCACAACTCCTTCAGTTGTTGCATTTACGAAAGGTAAGAAGTATGCAGTTTAAGAATTTATTTGTATTTATACTGTGACTTTGTAGTATAAGCTTGGGATTCTCTTGACAGGACAATGGATAGTTTTTAGGGTCCTTGTAGGAAGTGAGTATCTGTCTTGTCCTGACAGATATTTGTCTTGTCCTAATTGCCAGTGTTTTTGGGGGAGGGGGGCACCAAGAGGGCATTTGCATGTTCCAATTAAACTTGTTTAATTTTGATGAAACCTGCATAAAAAAAAAGCCTGTTTGATTTTCAGCATTGTAACCCCAAGAAGAAATGTGAAACAAAGTAGTTACTACAAAATAACATGATTTTAAAGATCTAGTAATAATGCAATTTTTGCAAAGTTTTGATATTGGATGATGGTATAATCATTGATATTATTAGCAATTGACAAATTGACATTAGCATACAAAAATATAACTTCAGTTAGTGGATTTGATACTATTTCTATTTATAATTGTGATCTGTTTTTCATAGTGTTCTTTGCAATATTCTCATTGCAAGAAAACTTGACATTGGATTTCTTTTAGATGGAGAACGTCTGGTTGGCATCCAAGCAAAACGTCAGGCTGTCACCAATTCTAGAAACACATTTTACGCTACCAAACGTCTTATTGGTAGAAGATACGACGACAAAGAAATAGCTAAGGACAGGTTAGATATTTGGTTACCAGTTTGCATTTTTGGTCTGAATTAACTGTTACCATTCAAACAGTTACTGTATACATGGTTACTCTTCTGATATATTTTGTTATTTTATCTTTAGGGACACTGTACCTTTCAAGATTGTTCGTGCTAGTAATGGGGATGCCTGGGTGGAGGGGGATGATGGCAAGATGTACTCTCCATCTCAGATTGGTGCATTTATCCTAGTCAAGATGAAAGAGACTGGAGAAGCATACCTTGGCACTCCTGTCAAGAATGCTGTTGTCACTGTCCCAGCATATTTTAACGACTCCCAGCGACAGGTGAGTTGCTCTTTGCGAAGATTTTGCGAAGATTTGCTATTATAACTTGCATGATAAGGTTTGATGATTTTTATAGATTAAAGTTAATCATGTGGCAATGAATATGTACCTACTTATAGTGCACATTAGGTTTATAGTTTGCATTTGTACTAGGAAGCATTTTTGTTGAGGACCTTTTTATAATGAAACCCTACAAATGCATTTTTTTTTCCATTTGATCCTTATCAAAATCCAAAATTTGGATTTGGTAAAGATGAATTTAAGCAGTTCCATTTACTGCTCTTGCCAGGCTGCATCTGGCACTTGTCAATGCTACACTTTGCTTACGCTATGTTTTATCCTCTGATGTTTCACCGATTGTTTTATTACCTGCCTTTATATATTTACATAGAGCTTTTATATCCACATTTGTGTCATGCATGTAAAACCCAGACAATAATTGTTCAAATCATATGATGACCACATATGATCATGACAGACTTGCTATAGTTATCCCAGCTTACATTTGACTTCACTCGTTTCTTTCTATAACATAGCATGTGTTCAGGGCATGGTTATCTCCCAATAACTTTCACTTTTCTCTTTTTTTTTTCCAATTTTTATCTTTAAGATCTATCGTTAAATTGAGTGGATACTGTACGTCATTCATTTTTATGTCAATGTGTTCGCAATAGAATGTTATACCATGCAGGTGATCTATCCCCTTTATGTATCTTCACCAGATTCACAGCCCTTCAAATTTCAGTGTTTGTTTTAAGCTGTGCATTAAGAAGAAATTCAAATACTTTGAAAATGTTGTTTAGTAGGAGAATAATGTGGTTAAATTAAAATGCAGTTTAGTAGGAGGGAGGATAATGTGGTTAAAAATAAAGGGAGAAGGGGGTCATTTCCTTGGTTCTACACAATAGTTCTATTTACTGAGTCTTCTGAAAAGTACCTCTCGTACCACCTCGATACCTTTTAGATTGTACAGTATACATTTCCATCCACCTCAGTCTTGCCACATAAATTTTTAACATTTGTTGTTCAATTACAGCAGTTAGGTATGGTCAAACCATACACAAGATTTGTTATAACTGTATATATTGTTAGGGTGTATTGTAGGTTGGGCTGTATTCGGTTTGGATGGTTTAGGTTAGGTTAAGGTTATGCTGCGTAAGGTCAGGTAGGGACTTGTTTAAATTCACTGGCAGACAGTCTTGCATATGATGCAACCTGTATCCACAGGAGCTTGGGCTGGTCCTTTGTTTCTGTTGATGCCATCCATAAGCTGTTGCTTTGCTTGTCTCCTTGCTCTGGTGTAATGGTTTCTGACATCCCCCCTTACCCCTTACCCTCCCAACCCCTGCACCCAATTGACTTTCCTGGTGACTTCATGTATGATCCGAGGCACAGGAAGATTAGAATTCTTGTTCTAGATATGTAGAATTATATTCTTATTGCTGAGCTAAAAATTAAAATACAGTACAGTATTTAAAGAACAGTTTTGTAGTTTACCTTAATGCAATATTGCCTTTACGAAAGGGCAAAATGTAAAGATTTTTGCCAAGGTTTTTGCTTTAGAATGGTGGTGTAACTGTCGCTTTGTCAATAATTGTAATGCTGTATTTTTGTGATCATTTAAATTTCTATATTGATGTGTAATTCCCCACTCTGTGTTTTTGAGACACCTTGTGGTTTTATAACATCATAGAGCAAAGTTAATTCTTCACCTGGGTAGTTCTCTGTGAACTGACTTAGTTTTGCGGATTCTTACAGTTATCTTGCTCTGGCAACTACGTTTTGGCACTGGCTTAATTACATTCATTAATGTTTTGTGGTTATTGTGTGGAGTATAAGTAGACTAATGAGTTAAAAGATCAGTTGCAAGATTATATATTGGCAGTTTATCACTGGCATGTGAAGTATTGCTAAATATGAAGACGTAAACCTTTGTTTGAAGACTTTTCATGGGTATTTACTTTGATATTTTCATGGATTTCAGGCAACGAAGGATGCTGGTCAAATTTCTGGTTTAAATGTTCTACGTGTAATTAATGAACCAACAGCTGCAGCTCTTGCCTATGGCATGGATAAAACTGATGATAAAGTGTAAGTGTTAAGTTTGTTTCATTTGCTTGGGTTTCTGAGCATTTATGCATTTTGAAGATTTTTAACTATGGGTCTGTGTAGCATATTGATTTGCCTGGGGGTTATATAATTGTAAGAAAATAAGGCAAATTTTCTGATGTCACATTGTGATTTCGTTGTACAATTAATCATTACCTTTAGCCAGGATTAACTAAATATGTATATAAATATTTGGGCCATAATTTTTTCTTATTTTCTTGTCTCTGATAATTTTTACATTAATTATACTGTATTTTCATGTGTAATAAGTTACTGATGCATTATTCCCCATTTAGTGTTTTTGAGACACTTAGTGGTTTTATAGCATCAAAGAGAGAGACTGAATTCTTCACCTGGGCAGTCCTATGTGGATTGGCTTAGTTTTGCGGGTTCCTACAGTTTTTAGCTGATCTATGAAACTTTTACTAAAATTGCATTTCTTTTTAATCAATTCATGCACCCTGCCTGCCCACTTGCCCAGCCAGCCAGCCAGCCAGTCTGCCTGCCTACCTTTTATTTTTGTTTTTTGTTACATTTACATACAAGAAGGTACATTGGGGGTTAACAGAGAACATAGAAATAAAGTTGATTTTACATTCTTGTAAAGTTACTAGCACACAGCATTTCGAGCAAGACCTTCACTCCTGCCTGCCAGTCAGCCACCCAGCCCATTCATCCATCCAGCCAGCCAGCATATTGTTGGCATTAGTGTCTCCATTTCTAGGCAGTGGAAATATATTTTTGCATAATGGTTTAAAATGAAATATTTTCTTGTTTGCAGTATAGCTGTGTACGATTTGGGAGGTGGTACTTTCGATGTCTCTGTTCTTGAGATTCAAAAGGGTGTGTTTGAAGTGAAGTCGACCAATGGAGACACATTCCTTGGTGGAGAGGACTTTGATAACTATCTGGTGAATTTCCTGGCAGCAGAATTCAAGAAGGAAGTAAGTTTCACGGACATTTTCGTATAAAGCCTCATTTAAATTGCCTTTTTTTTCCCCAATCCAAATTTAGGTCTTATTGTCATCTTTAAATGATAATTGCCAAATGTCTCTAAATTGCATAATGTTTCAAATTTAACAAGTATGTACTGTACAGCATGTTGGATGACATTTTAAATAGAACTTTTAATTGTATTGTTGCAGCAAGGTGTAGATGTTACCAAAGATAATATGGCCATGCAGAGGCTCAAGGAAGCTGCAGAGAAGGCAAAAATTGAATTGTCTTCCTCTACCCAAACTGACTTGAATCTACCATATTTGACAATGGATTCATCAGGGCCCAAACATATGATGTATAAGGTAGGGGAAAACTGAATTTTAAGTTTGTAATATTGTTTCACTTTTTCTGTGATTTGTATTTTGATTTTCTTATCTTGACTGATTTAGCTCTTTGTTTTGAATACCTAAAATTCTCCTAAAAATGTAAAATCTTCTACAACTTTACTTTACATTAATTATACTGTATTTTCATGTATAGTAAGTTACTGATGCATTATTCCTCATTTTGTGTTCTTGAAACACTTAGTGGTTTTATAGCATCAAAGAGAAAGAGAGAATTCTTCACCTGGGCAGTCCTGTGTGGATTGGCTTAGTTTTGCGGGTTCCTACATTTTTTAGTTCATCTCTAACTTTTCTTAAAATTAACCTTTGTAATTACACTGATTAATATTTTCTTTTACCTGTAAAACAATATTTTTTTTTTTTAACAGCTTACTCGTGCAAAGTTTGAAGGCATTGTTGATAAACTGATAAAGCGCACAGTTGATCCCTGTCTCAAGGCTCTCAAGGATGCAGAGTGTTCAAAGTCTGACATTGGTGAAGTCATTCTTGTTGGTGGAATGTCACGAATGCCAAAGGTATGATTATTTAGGAATGTTTTTTTTCAATTGTCAATGTATGAATGATGAATTTAGGAAGTAAATGGAATTTATAAAAGTAAAAAATTGTTTAGTCTGCTTATTGCATATAAAGTACATTTTGCAAATTTGCTCTTTTAACACTGATACTTTGGGTAGGTTGTATCAGTGGTCCAAGAAATTTTTGGCCGTACTCCAAGCAAATCTGTGAATCCTGATGAAGCGGTGGCGATGGGTGCTGCCATCCAGGGTGGTGTGCTGGCAGGTGACGTAACTGATGTGCTGCTGCTCGACGTGACTCCACTCTCTTTGGGCATTGAAACCCTTGGAGGTGTAATGACAAAGCTTATCAACAGGAACACTACTATACCCACAAGAAAATCACAGGCAAGTTATGTTAAAGAATCTAAACAATATCTCTACAATTTAAAAATTAAATTCTTGAAGGATATGTCTGGCCTGAAAGTTAAATTATGGAACCTTGAACTTTTAAGAATTTTTGGGAGCGTCATAACTACCAACATAGCAAAGAACTAATGCAGAATACTTGCAGAACTAATGAATTAAAAAGTACTGGTCTGCAGTCTATATTGTTAATGTTAAAGCCTTTATTACAGAACATAGTCTTGAAAGAAATTGAAACCATTTTTTTGTTTTTAGTTCTATGAGAGCAAATAATTTGAATTATTTTAAATGTCCTGTTAACTATAAAATTAAATTCACAGGTGTTTTCAACAGCAGCCGATGGTCAGACCCAGGTTGAAATTAAGGTGCACCAGGGGGAGAGAGAAATGGCTGCAGACAATAAAATACTGGGCCAGTTTAGTTTAGTGGGTATTCCACCTGCACCACGTGGCGTTCCACAGATTGAGGTCACGTTTGATATTGATGCAAATGGAATTGTCCATGTATCGGCAAGAGACAAGGGAACTGGCAAGGAACAGCAGAGTAAGTTTATTTTTTATTCGTAGCAATTGGCCTTTGTTATTGGGGAGTCAAAATTAGTTCCTCCTGATAATGAATAGTGGTGTGGGACTATGAATAACCTTACTTACACTTGTGTAAGGTGGTGGTCTGTGTGTAAAATTGTAAGTGGTGGCTGGTTGCATGTTTACTTTGATTTATGGCAATGGTAAGAATCGAGTTGTATTTTGGGATAGTTTACAAATGAAAATGGTGTGTACCCAAGTTATAGAATATTTGTAGTGGGCGTTTGACAACTGTAGTATTAACACTTGACGTTCTGACCTGTCTGGTGTATTCCTGACTCAACGTTGTGGGCATATTGGGATCCCACTCGGCAATATCTAGAATGCATATACTCTTAACATTCTCAATTTCTGGGTTATTAATATAAATCTGGTGTCAAAATTCCCTTCCATCACCTGGGCTCTAGGACCACAGACTCCATGTGTGAGTCAGTTCTATCCACTCTGTATTTTTTTTCTTTTTGGTGTCAAAATGTTTGCTTGAGTAGATGCAAAATAAATTGTGATTTGATTATGGAATTAAAGATGGATATTCAAGGAGTGTGTGTTGGATATACAAATTTTTATGAATATTTTGACCTTTGTTGTATATTTCTCTACCTTCATTTATTTTCAATATGATAAAAAGGTGGAACTTTGTGCGCTATTGTTTTCTTGCCGTGAAAAGAAAATTACTAATAAATTTCTGGCAGGAAATTTGGTAAACACACTGAGAGTTTTTGCAAGCAAGAGCAATTCTGGTCTTGAAAGTGATAGGTAGTTAGTTGATCTGCAAGCAAGAGCAATTCTGGTCTAGAAAGTGATAGGTAGTTAGTTGATCGAGGTGATCTCTGGAGGGTCAAGGTGGGGTTATCTTGAGATCTTGAGGTTTTCTTGATGATTTCGGGGCTTTAGTGTCCCCGCGGCCCGGTCCTCTACCAGGCCTCCACCCCCAGGAAGCAGCCCGTGACAGCTGACTAACACCCAGGTACCTATTTTACTGCTAGGTAACAGGGGCATAGGGTGAAAGAAACTGCCCATTGTTTCTCGCTGGCGCCCGGGATCAAACCCGGGACCACAGGATCACAAGTCCAACGTGCTGTCCGCTCGGCTGACCAACTCCCAAAACGGTTTGGGGTGCCCCCAAACTAAAAAATATTTTGGGGAATTTAGAGATGCACAGTGTATTTTAGCACCATCCAAATGCTAGGTTTTGATTAATGCTAAGTTTTGATAAATATTTAGTCAATACCAATTGAAGTATTGGTATGCCAACACATTGCCTAAATCTAAAGATTTAGGCAATGAGTTACCACTAATGCATACTTTAACATATGGATATTAATATGAACTTAGTATAGGGTAAATTATGCCTGGTGGTATGTAGTGCTAATCAATGAATTATATATTTTCCACAGTTGTTATTCAGTCATCAGGAGGTCTAAGCAAAGAGGAGATTGAGAACATGGTTAAAAAAGCTGAACAATATGCTGAAGAGGATAGAAAGAAGAAAGAAGTGGTGGAGGCAATTAACCAGGGAGAGAGCATCATTCACGATACAGAGAGCAAGATGGAGGAATTTAAAGATCAACTTCCAGCAGAAGAGGTGAGAGAAAATCAGATTTAGATTGAATTGACTGTTTGGCTCTAGATCAGGGGCTCCCAAACTCTGTACTGTTATTACCCCTTTCCATGTAGCGCCCTTATTAATGGCCCCCTACACGGTAAAGGCCCCCTCTTTTATCATGACCCGTTACTGCTCCCCCCCCTTTGCCATGGACTTGTGGTTCCCTACGTATTTCAGAAAGGCCCCTAGGGTCTTGTGATTATGACGGTTCCATATTCCGTCTATAATGAGCATGACTACATTCTTTGCATCAATTGAAAGAGAATTAAGATAATTTTGTTTGTTTTGCAGAGTTCAAAATTGAAAGACCAGCTTAGTAAAGTGAAAGAACTTCTTGCTAACAAGGATACTGCTGACCCTGAAGAGATCAAGAAGCAAGTCAGTGAACTGCAACAGGCATCTCTAAAGTTATTTGAAATGGCATACAAAAAAGTAAGTTTTTTTTCTTTTAATGTCAACTTGTAAGGTAGCCAACCAAGAATGAATTTAGTAATAGAATCAAATTAGGATGTGGGTGTAATTTTCAAAGCTGTAAAAACCTTTGCAGTCACTTATATTAATGTCTAAATGTTTCACTTGATGTACAGGTCTAATCTTGAATGTTTGAAACTTACACAAGTGTAATAATGGAAGTTAAATCTTGACAAAGCTCATGCTGCACACATGCAGGCCAAAGCTGCATGTGTGCACACAGGCTGAAGGACAATTGTTCTGTCTTTGCGAGGATAACTTTTTAATGGGAATGTTCCTATGTTTTGGCTTTCATCAGTGCCAAGAACAAAAATTCTAAAAAAAATGAATGCATTCACTTTAATAAAAGTTTTGAAGCTTAATTTATACACGGTTTCAAACCATTTGTTAAGTTATTGCAACAGTATTAAAATGTGTAGTATACAAGTAATACATAAATTTGGAAGAAAATGTATTACTTAACCTTTTCCTTTCAGATGGCATCGGAAAGGGAAAGCAGCTCGTCAAGCGATAAAGACAAGAAAGAGGGAGAAGGTCAACAGTAATGTGCCTTTGGTTTGCACATGTGTACAGTAAAGATGCAATGTGGTGTTACTCTGTTGATATCTAGTGAAGGGCACTCCAGCAGTTCATTGAGCAGTTTTTACTGGCAAAGTTATTCTGTTTGTGGACTATACTGAACCCAGGACTGATATATTGGTCTTGCCATGAGCATCTGATAGACAGTGTTCTTATAGAACTTGTATATTTAAGTGGTGGTGTGTGTATAAATGCTTAGACAGTTGTTGCCATGTGAAGAGTCCAGTAATTATATCATTATTATTAACTACATCCATATTCCAGCATATATGTCTATATATTAATTTAAGGTTATGTTATGATTTTGTATAAAATTGAGAAATACATATGTACATATTACGTTATCAGTAAAAGTTTTATTTCCTTTAGCTACATCTTTTCCGATTCCAACTTGCCAGTTGTACATTGAACTTTGGCCACATTTACCCACTAGTAATTTGGTACCCAAAGTCACAAGACTTAAATATTTGATAAAACATTGAATACTTTAGAATTTGTTTAAAACTAAAACTAAATATCACAATGAAATAATTTATTGTAAATTGGCTTAATTCTTAATTGGTCCTTAATATTGACCAGGAAAAGGGGGATTCAAATGATGATAAAGAAAAGTTGTCATTTACTAAGTTTTTGTGTAAAGCAACACAGTGGTGACATTTCAAATGGTGAATGAAGCTCATTACACCCATATTTTCTTGCTCTATTTTATTTGGGGGTGGGGGAGGAAGGTGGTGTATAGTAGAAGTGTATAGTTATTATACAGTATATATAAATAATATTTTGCTATCAGCTGCTGTGTAGTGTTCCTACAGCTGCATCCTTCAACTTCAAGATTATAGTTTGGAGTCTAATGGACATCTGGAGGACACTTCAGTTCTCATGCATTGGGTAAGTGTGTGGTTTTGTTTTGCTGAATAATTCAAAATTTAATTTTTTCTCTACACATGTAGACACTTGCATATTGATTGCACGTGATGAAATGTTTCGGCACTTCCTAATTTGTTCAAAAATGTGTTGGCTCTGGCTTTGACTGTCTCTTATAAAGTGGGAAAATAGAGATGGCTGTGGGATTGATTAAATAAATATGGCAGACATTTGGCAAGATGTATATAAATTATTTATGATGGGTATCGGTAAATTTTCCTATGTTCAGTTTGATGATTACAAACCATAGAAAGTGTGTGTAAGCCTGAAGTTCATGATGTTGCTGTTAGTTCTTGTTTTTTGACATGTTTGTGTTAATCTGCTAAACATGCTCGTGCTCGTATATTCTGGCATCAGTTTCATGATGCTTCATATACTTCATCGCAACTACTTTGGGGTCACCTTGCTGATGCTAGATACAAGGTTGTCAATTTTAGGATTTTTATATTGACTTAATATTACGGAAGTTGGGGATGTTTGGGAGTTGTCACTTATCGCAATTCTTCTACCATGTCATGGCATATTTGTTTGGCGCGTGCATCTGGGAAACCACAGTGCATTAGTTCGAATCCTCATCACTGATCACTGCTGTAGATTTTTCTCATTCACATATGATAATGTGATTTCTGTGTAGTTGTAGCAGTAATAATAGTAATAATTTTAATTTAGTAATAAATAACTTAATAATGAGTCATTGTGTTTTTGGGTACAAGCCTGTGCATGTACATTAAGGTCCCCAACCCACACTTCCCCTCCCCAAGATGCTGACCCTCTCCAGAATTCAACTGTCCTACAGTAGTTGCTTCGCTCCCAGGTACCTATTTATGGCTAAGTGAACAGGAAGATTAGGTGAAGGGGAAACGTGCCAATTATTTCTGCCCCACCTGGGAATCGAAACCAGGAATGGCAAGTGTGCATTGAGAATGAAGTACTACAACTACAACCTTTTGTGCTTCATAAGATGGCAGATTCCATTCCTATGCTGTCTGGTAATATATTGCTACTATGTTATTGTATAGTCTTTTGAAACTATTTAGTACAGTATTTTCATTGTCATACTTATGATTTTCAACTTTCTTTGTACTGCTGATGTTAATCAGTCGTGTTGTATTCCCCTTAGTTTCAGATTCCCTCTTTTCTCCAACTTCACTAATTTAAAATTGTTTCGAAAGAAACTATTTGTCTCAAGTTTGTCTAGATATTCCTGCAGCTTGTATTTTCCAGGTGTTCTCATTAGCATGGTTTTATTAAGAGACGTGAAAACCCCCTTTGTTCATATTCATAGATTAGTAATGGTTGCTTGGTTGCCCTTGTGATGAGTAGGTTTTAGAAATGCTATAAAGGCTTGCATGAATGCACTTGTGTGTGTGCTGGTGCACAATGCTGACCTGTCAAAGCCAAAAAGAAATATCTTAAGATCTTGCCAAGAGTAACAGCTAGGTCGGATAGCTCAGGAAGATGGCCATGTTATATTTTAGGCTCTAGTAATACTTCATTTAATAATCATTCATTTAGAGCTTTATTATTTTAAATTACATCTTGATGAAACTGAAAATCTCAGATTCCCTTGATGCAAATTTACTTTCTGATGTATTGAATACATGATCTTGTTACTGGTGGTAATACATGATATAAATTTTTTTGTGTACACATTTTGCAGGATGCGTGCCACGTGAAGGATGGCTGTGTGGGGCCTTTTCATCGTAATTACAAGGTAAGACTTTACATTACTTTTACCAGCTGGTTTTAAATATGAATTTTAGGTTTTGAGGAAGGGAGAGTAGGGTCCTTGTATTTAGCAATGTCAAAAAGGTGGCAAGACCCAACTTCTTGGGCTGTGTTCTGGGTCAGAGTTATGATTGATGGGGGGTTTCCACCGTGTCTCCTAGTCCGTCCCACTTTCATCTTATCCCAGAGTTGTGAAAGCCCTCGCTGTTTACCTCCAGGACTAAACTGATAGGCTCTCTATAGCATTCAGAGTGATTCTCTGCTTATGTCTTGCATTGGAATTTTTAAAGCTTTCACTGGTTTGATAAGGTGTTATTTAAAGCATCGTAAGAATTGGCAAGCATTGTCTTGTACACTATATTGTACACTATATTGTACTTGTACACTTATTATATTGTATAGTACACTACTGTACTATACAATATAATAAGTTACTAAAATGTTCAACTTTAAATATATAATCCAACAGGAGTTTAACTGCAGATCCAACTACTGTACTTAAGTTCTTGTTTTGTTTTTGTTTGTTTAGGGGCCTCGTAGCCTGGTGGATAGCGCGCAGGACTCGTAATTCTGTGGCGCGGGTTCGATTCCCGCACGAGGCAGAAACAAATGGGCAAAGTTTCTTTCACCGTGAATGCCCCTGTTACCTAGCAGTAAATAGGTACCTGGGAGTTAGTCAGCTGTCACGGGCTGCTTCCTGGGGGTGGAGGCCTGGTCGAGGACCGGGCCGCGGGTACACTAAAGCCCCGAAATCATCTCGAGATAACCTCAAGATAGCATTATAGATGTATAGCTAGGCATAATCTAAATTTGATAATTTCCATGATGACATAAAAACATAAACTTCATATGTTGATGATGCATACTGAACTCTCTCACTGATTGAATTCCAATCACTTGTATTGTTTTTACATTTCAATAGAGGATGTTTATAACACTTTAATTTCATTTTTATAGTTCACTTGGGTGTTTCATCGATGCTGCAGCAAAGGAGTTGTCAATAATGTTTGGGTAAGTGGTTTGATGATTAATCAGTTTAATTTGGTATACATATTTAGCTTAGTAAATCATAAGAGGTCAAGATTTAAAAGAAATCCTAATTATCAGATCAGCTCCTCTTGGATACAAATAAAATTGTTAAAGGTTGTTGACCAGACCACACACTAGAAATTGAAGGGACGACGACGTTTCGGTCCGTCCTGGACCATTCTCAAGTCGATTGTGTGTCAAGAATCAAGAATATGAAAAGGGTTTTCATATTTTGTTTTCTCACTCGTATTCTTGTCATTCCTTTTTACTTTCTCTAGAACTGTACTCCTTCCCATTCGTTCTTTAGAACTTTACTACTTGGTTAAAATTATTAATTATATAGATATAAAAATTATGAAAGGGTTTTTTATATGATGTTTTAAACACTTGAAGCCTGAAAAATTATGCAGACAATTTTTTTCTGATCATATTTGATGGGTAGACATGAAAGTTAGTGTGGTTATCCATGTCTTAAACGTGTGTGTGTGTGTGTGTGTTGCAGATAGAATGGTGTTCCTTCATGACCAACTTGTGAGGGTGGTAGTTGCTAGCTGGGTTGGTTGCCTGCATTTTAGCAACAAAGGTTAGTTTCATTCCTGAAATATTTTGATACATTTAGCATTTTACAATGCATATAATAATAGGGAAGGGGGGGGGGGCAAACTACATGTTTGCAATGAGAAGTTTTATGTCCATTTAGGAAAATCTTTATTGATGAATTTGGATCAAGATTTGTTAGGAATCATAACCTGATTTTTCCCATGTTCTATGAGTAACTGTAATTTAATAATAAATAATAATTTATTATTAATTATAAACCCACAGCTTGGTCTCGTGGTTGGTGATGTGGTCCACTATGCCCATTTTGCTTAGCATTTTGTACAGCATAATATTGTCCTTAATGTTATAGGATGTAGTTTTCTTCACCTATCCTCCATAGTTTCGCGTGACTAGAGCATTATAGCGACCCCATAGCAACCCCAACGCGTTATAGCAAATGTGACGATGTAAATGTTTGTCTAATGTTAATTGTATGAAGACAGGTCTATTGTTTACTTGTAGAAGCTGGTAATTTTTTCTTTATTTGAACATTGCTGTACTTTAGTATATATTTTTTTTAATCTGTAGAGTATGTTATATTAAAAGAAAAAATGTGCAGTTTTTATACTGAATTCTCTTGCTACAGAAATCTCTTCTGCTCTTAAAATTAGCCATATTTGTCTTGAAAATTGCAAGTTTTTTTGAAGTGTAAATGAACTTGTGTTCGAATACTTTCTTATTCATGATGTATTTCAATCCAACTCTTGACGCCTTCAAATAATGGGGCTTTAATGCGGAAAATAAATGACTGAATTATGTATGATGAATTTTGTTCAATGTACACGAGAGTATTATTAACTTACATTTTGCTTAAATTGTATTACAGCAGGAGTTCACAGATCAGGTGCTACGAATCTGATCGCTGGAGAAAAATTGCATCTTTGAAAATTACTGTCTGTAGTTGGCTAATCAAGGTAAGGTATACCTGCTTTGTTTATGATTGCAAATAATTGGCATAATATGAATATATATATAATTATAATGATGAAACAAAACTTCAGATGTTCATGATGCATACTGAACTCTCTCACTGACTAGATGAGGATGTCGGTTATGGTAATCA